ATAACGGGTGAATTCATTCTACTATTAAATCGAATTTGGTATGTTATACATTTAAAATATGGGAACAACCGAATACCTCCTCTTAATGTTTGAAAATGTATAAAGTTTTCTAAAAATTGAGTAAATAAGAATAAAGATTCAAATGTTTAATGTAACTGTAATGGTAATCATAGAAACGCTACAATAAAAAAAAAGACAAAATATTTTGATTTTGTTATAAATAATTTGTATAAAAATTATGTGTACTAATGCGTGATGGTACTAAGTATTTAATTTTTTGTCTGTCATTACTTTTTTGGAACAGTAAAAATGATTCAATCATTAACTTTTAGGTTGATTTCTGGTAGGGAATTGGATTAAAACATCTAATTGTTATTTCAGTAGGTAAAAAGTAAAAAAAATTAGACAATTATTATAGAAGTTAAAATTATGGTATTCAACATATATCTTCAAATGATATTTGTTATATCGGTTATAAATATTAAAAACTTTAAAAATTTAGTTTTTTCTTAAATTATACATTTTTCTACACATAATAGATATTTAAAAATGTTTAAATTAATTTTAAGGTATTAGTAAGTTGTAGCATTAACCTAACCTTTTCGAATAGTGTTGCGATACGTCGATATTGGGGTATAAGTTTATAATAGCTAGTAATGTTATATGAAATAATATTATACAATATATTATGCGATTTGTTTTTATCTAAAATGAGTTGACCCTACCGTATTACTTATAGAAAAAAAATTATTAATTGCAATTCTAATATAAATACGTAATAAAATAATCTTTGAGTTATAGTCTGACTAACCGTTTCAGTTCAAAATCGTTTTCGTTCATTATAATTACTTATCATTGAATTAAAATTTAACATATCAATTAAAGTGAACTTTCAACTCAATGTACACTCGAAACATATCAAAGAGCAGTGCTAATTCCTAGATATTATATGTTAATAATTTTTTATTTTAATACTTTGTTTGTTTATCCTTGTTTGTATATTCGTCCAAGACCGCTCTAAATTCTTCAACAATCTTATATGTACCTGGTTGATCTCTAGAGTATATATGATTTAGCAAAATATATGAATAATTATCATCTTCGGTATTTGGATCAAACAATGGTTCGTCTTTAAATTCGTCGTCTTCCATAATAAATGGCAAAGCGTCCATGCGGAATCCATCGATGCCGGTATTCAACCAAAATTTTAGTACTTCCTAAAGAAATCGAATATTTAGGAGTCTGAATAAAACGCAAGTATTATACGATTAAATTGAGAGTACCTTCATTTCATCTAATAGTTTAGGAGATTTGTAATTGAAATCTGGTTGTTTAAATGTAAATTGATGCAAATAATATTGTCCTCTTTCTTCTGACCACTCCCAAGCACTTCCGTCGAAATAAGTTCGCTTAAAAATATTTTTATAATACGTAAATTTTTAGATTTTAATATATGGATAATAATAGGGTTTTGAAGTTGAAAAAATAAAAAATTCAAATTAGACTAGATTAGACCCGTTGAAAATATCTTGAATTTAGTAGGGACCAAACTCAATATTCTTAATCATCACATTCAAAAGTATTTAATGCAATAATGAGCACTATATAACATAAAATTAATTTATTGTTTAGTTGATTTAAATTACCCAATTATTTGGAGGTACTCTTTGTCCATCTTCATTTAATTTTCCGTCATGCCACACGTAGTATTCAGTATATGGATCGATTTTTTGGACTGATTTTTTGAACCATTCATGCTCGTCACTTGAATGGTTGGGCACAAAATCCAATAGAATACGAATTCCTGAAATCAAGTAGCCAAACGTTGTTCATGAATGTAGAATCCTATACACTTATACATAGTATTTTTCACATGTAAATAAAATATACCAAATTTTTTAAGTTCAT